AAAGCGTAGTTGTATAGATCATTTCTACTTTAAGCAATATTTTAAATTTTTTTAATGATTGCTTACTATTGTCATGTGAATGCGTATGTCTGAGCTTCAGACTTAACAACGGCCATTGCCATTTCCCTAGTGATATTTTATATATATTAGATCTTAGGCAAACAAAAAAATAAAATTACGCATATTGGTAATAGATCTAGCAAAATTTAGTAGCTATACATATTGATAATATCAGATATTTCATCATTTTCTGTAGACTCAGATTCTAGCTCTGAGTTGTGCTCATCTTCAGGATCAGAGTTTTCTGATTCTGTATCGCCTATAGCATAATTCTTTCCTACATCATGACGAACAATCTTATGCCTTAATGCAATTCAGTTAAGCCAGTCAAGATTCTGATGAGTTGCGTTTAGACCACTGTAAACTCTGCAAGCATGCTTACCTCCTATTTTTCTTAATATTTTAGATGTGATTTTATGAGGCTTTAGAAACTTGCTAAATGCTCTAGTATTGTACTTTCCATTTTCACTAAAGGTAGGATCACTCAACTTTTCAGCCTTTATAACCTCTTGAATCTAGATAAGTAATATTCTCGCACGTTCTGGATCTTTCTCTATGGAAAGGAATAGGCGAGGCTCTAGATTATCCTATTTTTTCCTTTATTCTTAACATATCTAATACAATACTAAGAATAACCATTTTTATACCATGCCAGAGAATTAGATGGGTCAACTTCATAGTGATTGATCTGAAGGCTAGATACTTCAGCCGGCCTAATACATAACATCACTATTACATCTGCAAGATCTTGCATAGAGAGATCTTTGGTAGTATCAATGTTTTAAATCCTTTTAAGCTCCTTTTCTAAGGAGAAATGTGATCGATTTTTTAACCGATTATTGACTAAATTTTGATCAGTCTATTCTTTCTGAATTTTATTAGAAGCTGTAGTAACATCTGAGTCTTTAGTATAAGTATCAATAAGTTCACGTGCAATACCAGCCTCCTGTAATTTATTACGAAACAGCGAGAACTGTAAATAACTAGCGATAATTTCTTATTGTCATTACTTTTTGAACCTATATCACGAACATAAATGAAAATATCCTACTTATCACCAGTCTTAGCACAATATTTTGCTCTTTCCTCTATGATAAGTTTTTCCTTTCTTTTATCTGACACGAAAGCCTCTATTTGCTCTTTACTAAATTTACGTCTAGTAAGAGTAACTTTAATACATCTACGAGCTATTCAATCTGAAAGTGAGATATCAAGTTCGCTGGCATGTTTGCTTAACTGTTCTGAATTCAACTCAGTGAATAAGATATTTTTTTAAGAGCTGGTTTAAGATGGCAGTATAATTATTATTTTTGGGTTATCGAGCCTTTGAGACGCTTGTTTTAGTAGTCATGATAATAATAACTAGATTGTAAGTGCTACCTAGTTATACTATATGGAAAAAAGTTCAATTCAAAAAATTTTCTCAAAGCTATACTTTTTTGAAAAGGGAAAATATCAGAAATAGCTTTTTACTAGATTAAAGAAGCGAAAAAAATGATATAGCTTATGTTCTGCTATTAAGACGCTTCGCAGATTATCATAACACATTTTTGAATATCTATAATAAAAAATGAAGATAAGTTTAACATATATTAATCTTAAAAACTTTTTCAAAAAGAAGTACTATGCCCTTTGGTCTCTTTAGTGAATACATATTTGATTCAGAGGACACTAAGGACGGGTGTGTCAAACACTATAGGTCTCTACCAAAAAAAATATGCGCATTCTGCTGTAATAAGCTGACCTTTTCTACAATACATGCCAAACCTATTTATAAGAAAAATTGGCTAGAAAGTTGCAAAAAGAGTGAGTAAGATTGGTCGAAGACGTTAAAGCAAAGGAATTTTGAATATCTATAATAAAAGTAAAAGTGAAGTTTTAAGATTATTAATATCAAAATTACCTCGTATAGGTCATTTTATCTACCAATACATCAAAAGAGATGATTCGATCTGTGGGAAAGAATACATGAGTAAATTAGGATACGTCAGACATTATAATGCCCTTCTTAATACAATATGTCTTGTCTGTAAAAAGGAAATCTATTCTGATACTAGAATCTGTAGCAATCATAGCAGAATTTATGACCGTGCTTGGCGTGAAAGTAAAAAAACTAAAACAGAATCCAATATGGTCAAGACTTAGCTGAATAACTATTTAGGCTGAAATATTATTTGTTCTGCCCTATAGAATCAAAGAGTTTCTGAATATCGTTATCTAGTTTTAGCCTATATGGTAGAAGTTCTGATACGCCTTTATCTTTAAAACTAGTACTGTTATATGGCTGACGATTAATTTAGTATGAGTATTGCCTAACTTGTTATCCTTTAGGTCTTATTCTTTTTTTATCACTTTTAATAGTATAGCCACACCAATTATCAGCAATTGCATTGATTGCTTTTATAGCTGAATTAAAATCTGGTATTGTTTTAGTATGAGACTTAAAGTCACAAAGTGATAAAGACTGATTTCGAATTTCTATAAATCTTTTACAGAATTATACGAATGCTTCTGATACAATATTACCAGAAAGAATATGTTTATCATCAATACCAGTAAAGCCTAATATTTAAAAGAGTTCTCTTATAATCTTTTAATGATTTGCTAAATAAGATTTACGCAAGTCTTCTGTCACTAATTTTTTTAGATTCTCTTCGACTTTATGGCAGGCCATTCCTATTGTATATTTTCCTTAGTTTTCAATCCCTTCATTGCATTCTCTTCATCGTGACCTTACTTTTGGAAATAAGACAATCATAAAAAATGCTTTTAAGCTTCAGGTGAACTAAAATTTTCAACGAATTTTCTATTGCAAATATTATCCCAATCCGCAATACTCATGACTTTGCAATAAAGATTCCACATATAAAAACGTTTAAATGCTATAGTATCTGCGATAGAGTGCTTTTGGTTGAATTTAAGGACTTCAGCTTCTTCAAGGCTAAGATTTTGGGAAGTAGCAACTGCATTAAAATCCGTTTCTTTAATAACTAATGCTTCAACTCTAACCTCATTACAGATTCTTTTACAGTTTCCTATAACTTCTCAGCTTTCATCCATTTTTATTAGTTGGAGAGAAGTGCTGGTACTAGCTATAAGTCTACAAAGCTTCTCAATAAAATATCTTGCAGAAAGGCATTTCTAATGCTCAACTTCAATGAATGTTATTACAGTTGGAGATTCATCAATTTTATAAAAAATAGCATTGTTATCCTATTCACAGTGACCCTTTATTGCTGTAGGCAAATTATTAGGTCAAGTATTTTCAAGTTCTGTCCTAATATTTTCACAACCTGGTGGACGAAAAAGTTCGTTAGAATTTTTCTGATAGAATATAGAAACAATACGATAAGAACAATTATGAATTTGATAAAGCATTTATGCAAGGGCATTGATATGAACTGGAGTGGCAATGTTTGTAATAGCTATAACTATATCAAAGTGACTTGTAACCTCAAATGATATTCCTGCCTCCACTGTATTTATATAAGCTATATAGTCAAGCTCACTCCAAGTGATATTAATATCAGAAAAATCTTTTTGTCGCTGTTTCCTATCCATATTCCCATAATATGCACAGGCTCTAATAGGTGAATTATTAGGCTTAAACAACTTAGATGCTTTTTCTACTAAAACTTTAGCTATCATTGCTCTGGTAGATATAAATGCTACACATTTACTCTACCTCAAAAGGTTATATCCTATTCGCATGGCTTCTGCTCCATTATTCAGATCATAAATAAATTCAACTATCTCACCTATATGAGGCTAATACTTATTAAACTATACGAATATTTTCACTACGATAAATCTGAAAGAAGGTTAGTGAGATATTTGCGAAGGCATCTATGGCCAAAACATGTCTCACAGATCTTAAGATATCACGCATTGCATTTTTAGATTTCTGTGCATTTATATCGCTAGACATTTAGCACATAATAGCATTAGCTTTATCGAGAATAGCTACAAATAGACAGGCTGTGAATTTGACATAAAAGAGGTTTTCAACCTATACTATGATAATATCCCACTTATTTATAGATAAGTCTCCTTGCATATTTTGGTAGTTGCAAATTCAGAAGCCAAATGCTTTCAACTCATTAAATTTGAATTTTGATTCATTGCTAAGAAACTTTCGGTAAGAGATCCAGATATAGCATAGTAAAGAAGAAATATCATGTACTTTATTTTTCAATGCCATAATAATCTCTCTTAATGCAATGGTTTTTCATATTCTTGGGGAGAACAAATAAATATTGTTGTTTTCTCAATACCCAAAAAATCGGGATATACTTCTGGAACATCCTTTAATTTTTCTACATTAATTATCATTTCTGATAATCCTATAAGAGGACGTAGATTTGATATAGCATTACCTATTCTTTCGACTATTCCTCTCTTAAGTTTTACAAAAATTTCAGTCACTTTTCCAAATGCTAATCCCTTATGATCTAGCTTATATTGATTTTGCTAATAGCATTTAAGTACAAAATGGCCATTACTTTAAAGAAAGCTATATAATTGATCTCTTTCATGTTTGATTTCACAAATAAGACATACTTTATATGACTTTACTTAGAAGTTAACAAATCCCTTTCTAATATGACCAATTTCAAGCCACTCATATTTTGCTGTAACTAAGCTAGCTCCCTTGCTTAAGGCAGTTTCATCTTCGATAGGTTGGAATTCATCCTTTTCTGGCTTTTCAGAAGAAAAGGTCTGTGGCCAGATTTCAGAATAATCAGATTTAGGTTAAACTAAATAATCTTCTAACTTGCAATATCCTTGTTTAACTGAAGAAACTGCAGGTCTTTTAACTCTATCTTTCTTTGCCGAGCTAAGAAGCTGAAGACTAAAACGTGATTTATAAAGCCTAAGGTCAATAAATTTGAAATATGGTTTTCCAACCCTATCAGCAACTTTTTTCACAAATCCTCTAAGGTCTCTGTAGTTAATGAACTGTGCATATTTATACATAATATGCCAACTGCATTTATTAGTATTAGATGAACTGGCTAAAGCAAAAGCATCTAATATTGCAAGATGGTTTAAATCAGAATAAAAATATCAACACAGGTGATTAAGATTCTGGATAATAAATCTTCACAAGTAATTTTATATTTATCTAAGAAAGGGAGTTTAGGGTTCATTAAATCTGGCTTTTGCCTCGCATCAATATCTAGAACTAGGCGAAGAGGCAAATTTCCATCAATATACTCATGGGTATCAGGGTAATCCATAAACTTCAGATGGATAATCAACTACCGTAAAACCCTTTCCTGATACTCAGACTATATATTTTG